CCTTAATGAGGCAGTAAGAATAATAAATCTCAATTATATTAACATTCTTATATTACTAATAATTTCAGAACTCTAATGAAAATAAGAATTAAAGGAATAAAGAGCTATGTAGTCTACTGCAATGGATAGGCAGGCAAGCAGCATTTTGGGCAGTGCAGGTAGGAAAGGGTACATAAGGTATTTGCACCACCTGAATACCAGGTCTCACCCTGCTCAACTAAAGTTGCCAGTCACCTAAATCTGGGCAAATGTATTGGATATGCAAAACATAGTACAAGACTCATCTGCCTTGTTTAATTTCTCAGGATGACCTATATTCTGTCTAACTACTTATTTAGTACGTTTACATATGCAAATATTGCTTCCCAGGGTCATCCTGCAAAGGTAGTTTTTTACAAAGCCAACTCTGCTCTGAAGCTCAACAAACTGGGGTTGTTCAGCCTGGAGAAGAGAAGGCTTCAGGGAGACCTCATTTCAACTTTTTGATGTTTAAAGGAGGCCTATAAGAAAGATGGGGACAAACATTTTAATAGCACCTATTGCCATAGGACAAGGGGTAATGGTTTTAAAACTAAAAGATTTAGGTAGGTTTAGACTACATATAAGGGAGAACTTTTTTACTATGAGAGTGATAAAACACTAGAACAGATTGTGCAGAATAGTGGCAGATGTCCCAACACTGGAAACATTCAAGGTCAGTTTGGATGGGGATCTGAGCAACCTGATCTAGCTGAGGATTTCCCTGCTCATTGCAGGGCGTTGGACTAGATGACCTTTAAAGGTCCCTTCCAACCTAAACCTGTTGTTCTATGAAATCAAAGTTTCGCAAATGGTGGTGAGTAAATGCACCTGTCTGGACATCAGCAACTATATGTTTGCATTTGTTAGGTTTAAACTGGTTTGTCCTCAATAAAGGAATGTCCTTTCTGGAACACTAGATCCTCCAAGACCCATTATGAAAGCTCAGAGCCAGCACAGGCCATGCTATCCACCAGCTGGGCACTGAGCCTACAGCAGCTGGCAGCACCAACTGGAGCATGTAGCACCATGAGGTTCCCTATTTCTATAACCTCTACCCTGCTCATGGCCTGTTTTGTATGGTATCCTTGAAAGTCACCTGCCAGCAGTTTTCTCCTAAAGTCTCTCACTTCCACCCTTCCTTTTTCTTCTTTCCTGCCACCACCATTTTTCCTTCCCACAATACTCGCTCTCTCTGCATTTACTCCAGCCGACAGACCTGCCAGCTTTCTCTCTGCAGTGGGCACACATTCTATCACAGTACTTTAGGGAAGCGACCCCCAGCATTATAGCAGTATCAAGGTTTCCTGACCACATCAAAATGTGATTGTCAATATCCATATACATGAGGGTATGTGTGTACGCCTATATATTTGATGTTCTCAGTTGTCTGGTTTTGCCCAGTTTCAATCCCAGTGATGTAATTCCAGTAAGCTGCATTAGAGGTGATGTTCACAGCTGTATACAAAACCAAGAACTCTGACATTCTTTATTATGTTTTCCATACTCGTTGCTTTACGTCTCTCTGGTGATGGTGCTTAGAAATAAATACAGATAAAGTGATGTATTATCAAATCATTCTCTCCTACTGCTGATCTCATCAGAAGCAGCAGACAGATGGTAGCAGCACTGGTTACTTCACACACAACCTGCAGTACTTTTGCCAACATTCCTTGGTATCACATCTATTTCTACATTGACTATAGGCATTTCCTAGTTACCACTGCATTTTGCAGATCTCTTAGAAGCTGTGCAATGCAGATCTCTAAGCCAGAGGCTGAATACCTGCGTTGTACCAACCTTGAGCAAACCACCTGCACAAAACAATACCACTTCCTTCAAGAGGTCATCAAAAAAGCCATAAGGAATACTCACGCCAAAATGCCAGAGATGTAAAGGGTTTCAGCAGACAAGTATGACAGGTAGCTGAACATGAAGACCAGCAGGGGCTCAATTGCAGAGACGTTGTGGGTAAATCGAGTCATGAATGCTGAAACAAATCCAAACACGATCCCAAACAACACACCACCCAGCCCCACCACGAAGAAGCGAGCAAAGCCAGCGAAGACATCAATGGATTCGATTTCTTCGTACCTGTGCATCTGGGTGAAGGCGATGAAGATGTTGTATAAAACCTATATGTGAAAATACAGACACAGCAGTCAGGCATCTTTCTGAACTTCACTGTCTTACTCATTTCATAGTTGAATGTGTGTGTCTGTGTATGCCTAAAATTGCTTTAGACAGACCAGCAAAGTAACAATCGAAATCTCAGCTGGTTCTTAACAAGTCTCAGGATTAGGGGCCTGCTAAAGTGCCCTGAAAAAGAGCAAAAAATGAAGGGTAGATGGCTGTGCAATAGAAGTAAAACAGTCAGGGACCAAATGCCCTTGATGTAATCAGAAATACTCTTCTTTTTGTTTTGTTTTCTGAAGGTAAATTTAATTTTTGATCTTAGTAGCAGATGTTGAAAGCCCAGCTAGGTACTTTAAAATCTCCAGGCTCTACGCTTCATATTCTCTTTCTGACTCAAAATGAGGCAGGGCAGGGACGAAGAATCACACACTGGGTTTGAATTCTATTTAGGTTGTCTATATGATCAGTAGACTGGATAAACTTCCATTAGGTGGCTCAGAAATGTTAAAGGTTTTTCAGTAGTACTTGACACATTAAAAATCATGAAACATCACTGGGAATGGAAAAAAA